CAAGTTTCTAAAATTTGGAGTAGAGGGAGAACGTGGGGCAACTTCATATCCTGTGTCACCTTGAAGCAGTATCTGTTGGGAGGGTATCTCTGTGCTGCATGGTTCCTGTGTGTCCTCCATCTCCTTTAAAGTGGCTATCCTTCTCATTTTCTGCCTATTACAAGCTGCAGTAGCTGGGTTTCTTTTTGTTGTATTTTCCTTGGCCTCAGATGGGCTCAACCGTTAGGCGCCTACCCCAAGGACTCCATTAAACTCCTATACTTAGAGGACAAGTCTTCTTGGAGCTTAAGCCCTCCTGCTCAAGAGAGATGGGATAAATAACTTCTTACGGCCTTTGGTGAACTTGTTATTGGTATTGAGACCTGTGGACATCAAGGCAGTATGAGGACCTAAGCCATTTTTTGCCCCAGGCAAACCCAAGGAAGTTCTCACTGTTCCCTGCCCTCTTGCAATGAGTGCTAGCAGAGTTCATTTCTGATTTTGCACCACGTCTGTCCTTGAAGATGCTGCATGCAGGAGGAGCAGCTCCCACATGTCAGCACCCTGCTCAGGCCCCGTTTCTCTCCCTCTCTCCTCCAGCTTTGCAGATTATGGCTGCATGCTGGAGATCCGGCAGCTGGAGCTCCTGGCAGACGGCAGGTCGCTGGTGGACACCGTCGGTGGGCGCCGGTTCCGGGTGCTGAGACGTGGACACAGAGATGGCTACAACACAGCTGACATTGAATACCTGGAGGACAAGAAGGTGAGGGCAGGACCAGGGTAGGAGCTCCCAGTGTGGTGGGCACCTTTGGTGGGCACCGTGCTCCTCACCCATCCTTCTCTGCTCTCCTCTTCCCTCCACCCAGGTGGCTGGGGAGGAGCTGCAGGAGCTGCAAAGCCTGCATGAAAGCACCTACCAGCTGGCACAGAGGTTTTGGGAGCACGGGGACGTTGCCTCCACGCATCTTTTGTTGCAGCATGGACCACTGCCAGAGAAGGAAGAGGACATCCAGGTAATGTTGTGAGGGAAGAGATGCTCTGGGGAATGGATGTCCAACCTTTTGGCTTGCCTGGGCTGCATTGGGTGAAGTGGAATTGTTTTGGGATGCATATAAGCTAGCTATATAATGTAGTTTATGTGTATAACTAATGGAACTTTTCTCCCTTTTTTTAACATTTATTATTAAAACATAAAAAGGGCGACAAACTCAGAACAAGTGGGGTATTTGACCTTGTCTCTGTGAAACTAATGTATCAATCCAGGCTGGATGTGGCTCTGAGCAGCCTGGTCTAGTGGCTGGTGACCACTTTGAGGTTGTTTTCAACCCAGGCCATTCTATGATTCTATGAATGTCTGATTTGGGGGAAATGTGTGACACTGAGGGATGTGGTTTATTGGGTGATATTTAGTGGTAGGTGGACAGTTGGACTGGATGATCTTGGTTACTAAATGACTCTTCCTTATTTAGCTCTCTCCCTCTCTTCCCTCCAGGCTTCTGCTGATGGCCCGACCTGGTGCTGGTGGCTGATCTCCATCCTGCCCCTTGACCCATCCTTCCAGCTCAGGCTCTTCTCCTGCACCTCACTGCACGCCCGCCTGGCCCAGCTGCAACGCGTCCTGCTGGCCCTGCTGCAGCCCTCACCTGAGCACAGCCCCCAGGGCCTCGTCTGATCCTCCAAACTCTTTGCATGGGAGAATGCAGCCCCTTGGGTTTCTTCGTGCATTTCTTTGTGGTTTGAGTCCTACTAAAAGCAACCTTAGCGAGGTCAGTGCTGCTGCCATCCATGCTGCTCCCATGCGGTGGTTGGTGACACTGGAGTGACATGGACTTGCCATGTCACAGGAGGAGACCATGCCAGAAAAATGGGTTGTGCCTTTAGAAGCCAAAATCCCTTGCTGAAGTGCTTTGGCACTAAGGTGGACCATCCTTAGGGCAGAGGACTGAGTGCTGGGGCTCTTCTTCTCTGAAAGACAAGGTAGGACTTTGGGTAGTGGTCCTGCTGCACATGGCAGGAGGTATAAAGTCAGGGGAGATGTGGCACAGGGAGGCCCTGTTGGCTTTCTCCAGCCTCAGCAGCTGTAAGCTCAGCGTCTGGGTGAGAGTTTGACATAATTTCCAATGACCCAATTCAATGAAATGATCTGAAATCCATGATTCCATCCCCTCAGCTAGGCAGCAGGGGTCTGGGTACTCACTGCTGATGGAAGAATGAAGCTCAGCAGTGATTTCTGTGACTTTCTGCCTCTTGAGCAGTGTGATTTCACCATGTTCAGCCTTTCTTTGTGAACTTTCTGCCTCCTTAGAATAAAGGAGCTGAGGCTGGATCCTTGAATGTAGGACTTGGGACAGCTCAGGGTCTCCTGAACCAGCACACAGTGAAGTCAAAGGGAACCAGTGGCTGATGCTGTGAACCCTGTGCAGAGGAGCAAGTGCCTGGCTGCAAGTGCCTGACTGTGGCTTGTCTCCAACTAAAGGGAAAAAATTACTCCCTCTCCTGAGGGAGGGGAGGCTTTGCTCTGTGGGAGCTCCCAAGTTTTGGGATTTTCATGTCCCATTCATAATTTCAGTGGCTTTAGGTGAAATGTAGGATTAATATCCACCTACCGAGGAGAGGGATTAACATTTCTTTCAACACCTTATCCCTGCTTTTCCCATACACCCCACCTGGACGGTGGTACATGGCAGGGGGAGGAGGCATAGTCCCTGCACATCACTGCCAGCATCCTTGTGCCCCTGGGTGCTGGTACCACGGCTCTGTGTAGGTGGTGGAGCAGCACTGGCTTTTACAAAGTGCCTTTCTTTTCTGTAGGGTGGCTTGAGCCACCCCATGACCACCATGGGTCCCTCTATGGGTCTGATCTATGTCCACAATGGGCACTGGAGCCACATCTGCATGGTGTGCTGCAGGAAGGGACTCATGCAAACTCCTTCAGTTCGCTTAGAGTGCCTTTGGGATTGTGTTAGTGTCCTCTCTTTTAATTATGTGTTCTTTATCGTCGTTGAAATAAAGACGTTTTGTTGGTGGTGTTTGTTTCTGAGTTGCTCCTTTATTGAAGTTGGTCATCCCAGGTGGTAATGGGGACAGCTGGGGGCTTGGGGAGAGGTGGTGCAGTGGTGGAGGCAAATTAGAGGGACACGGTGAACAGGGGATAGATGGTGGCAAGGGGGAAAAAAGGGCGAGGGTCTGAGATAGGGGATAACAGCGTCAGCACCTGGTACGGTACCGGTAGCGCGCGGCGCCATGTGCCGTTCCATGCCTGCAGTACCGCGCTGCTCCACCAGGGGGCGCATGGAAGCTGAGCGCGGCCGGGCGGACGGGAAGAGGCGCCGTGCTGCCCGAGGTCACCCAGCTCTGCAAAGCTGACCCTCTTCCCACCCGACCCATCCTGCACCCCTTAGCTGATGGGACGTATCCTGTACCAGAGGTATTCACCCCTTAAAACTCTCAGGCAGCGTTAGCACCGGACCTTCTGCCTCTCAGCCTCATCCCATCTCCCCCCTCCTGGAAAAGCTCTCTTTCCCCTTCAGTCTTCAACTCCTAACGTCAGTGACAATTTCCCTAACAGAGTGGGCAAGCAATTAGGTAAAGAGGCAAGTAATTAATACAGCAGGTGTCAGGCTGCGCTTCGTCTTTCTTTAACAAATGGCGTATTTCCAAACTAATTAGACTGAGATAGCAGAAAATCAACATGAGATTGTTAGAGCTAAGATCTTCTCTAGTGAGGCTGTGTTTGCACTGAAATGGGAGCGTGTTATACCTAAAGGTTAATGAAGAAAGGGGGAAAAGCAGCACCGATTTATTTTTTTTTCATGCTATAGCAACGACACTTTGGAGCAATGGCAGATGGATCACATCGTTCCTGCTTTTCAGTGCTCAGTGGGACAGTGCCAGCATGCAGAGAAAGGAAGCCTATATGGGGCCATATATATGTATATATACAGTGTCATAATGCTGAGACCCAAGGCTCCAGCCACAGCCCCTGTCTCCCCATTCCCCCTACAGCAATGCACTCTCCCTGCTCTCTCCTTCCCTGTTGATTTATGGCTTCACAAAAGCCATCTCAGTTGAAGCAAAATATTTACAGCGCTGATTAAACACCAAGGTAATGGGAAACTTGTTAAAAGTGTGGAACTTATATAAATACAGCACTATTAAAATAAAATGTGACTTTTAGAGAGAACAGCTCTCTCAGCTGTGCTGTGTTTGCCTTAATTGTTTCCCTCCATTAATTACAGTCTGAGAAGGAGACTTGTGCAAATTGAAATAAATTAATCGAATTTGTTTAGTTTTGTGTGGCTGGCTTATGGGGATTGCAATTAAGTGAGCACATTCGGGGTATTAAATTACATTTCCTAGATGCCTTCTTCCCTTTTCAAGTACCGAGAGTGTGAAAAAGAAGGAGTCTTCAGCAATTAGAAGGTAAGTGAGCATTGTGAGCAATGGTTATTACAGCTCTGTGCCTCAAGAATTTCACTCCTTGCAGGTGTTTACCCCTGAGTAAATGCAGCCTGGCTCTGTGCAGTGACAAAGGAGAGTTGGTGGGGCTGATGAGCAGGATGGGGTGGGGTGATCTGTGCTGCAGCGTGCAGTGGGATCAGGTGTGTGTTCCTATAGAGCTTGCTTACATCCTTGCTGGCTCCCACCTCCTAACTCCACTGTTCGACACAAGGAAAGGGGCTCCCAGATATACCAAGGTTCTGACACAGGCAGTGAAACAGAAGAGAAATGTGGGCATCGTGGGGAAGGAAATCACAGGATCACATAGTTAGAAGGGTTGGAAGGGACCTCTGGAGATCATCTTAATCAACCCCCTATTAAAGCAGCTTCCTGAAAGTATGTTGGGTATGTGGATGCTCAACCCCTATAAGACACCAGAGAATCTACACTACAATCTTATTCCAGCTTCACTGGCACTATTCATAGCCCCTCCTGCTCCAGCCTTGCCCCAGACTAACCAGAGAGGTGTGGGCTGCCTGGGAGCTTTCTTCCAGACCTACTTTTCCCTGGAGAAACACAGCCAAATTTGGGCAGGGATGCCAGCACTAAGAAGGAGAAATGCATCACTTCCTTCCTAAAGAAAAAGGATTTGGGGAAAGAAGTGGGGCAATGGGGACAGGCAGGAACCATGTTCCCTCTTCCCTGCCTTGTGCAGAGCTGCTCACTGCTCCGAACCTCTTCACCTGGCTGTTGCTGTGCCTGGATGATGTATGGAGTGGCTGTGCTGCAATAGGATTTGTACCCAGAATATTGGCTGGATGATAAAGGAGTCTGTCTGCGGTGATAATTGCACCATAAATAGCGTTGGGTTCAGCAGTGACGAGTGAGGCACTCGAAAACCTCACCCTCCAGATTCCTCCCACTTCCTTCCATCTTCCTGACTGCTAACAAGCTGTAGGAATAGCTGCTTGGTTTTCACCAACCGCAGGAGGATTATTGCATTCAGATGCAGCTGGGCACCATCCTCACCATCAATCTTCATAGTGGGGAAAAAACAGAGAGGCAAAAAAAAAAAAAACCTAAAAACCAAGTAAATTGGATCATTACTGAAAAGCAGTGGGTACTGAAAAGCTGCGGCTGTCCCTCCTCATTCGGTGCTTTTGGCTCCTGGGGGTGACTGTGTTGTTCTGCTGATGGGAGCTGAGAAGCTGCCAGCTGGCCCCAAATGCTGACAAACGAGAGCTCAGGCTGGGGAGTGCTGTAGCAGTCAAGAACTAGGAAGAAAAGTAAATTAACGTGGATGGATTTGGAGCTTTGTCTCGCTCTTTGCTTTTTGAGCCTGCAGAAAGCATGTGGGCTCTTTTGAAAGAAAAGCTGGGAGTGGATCTGGCTCTGCAGGCAGATTAACCTGCTGCTGAGCTCCAAATGATACCTTAAAGCCAGGCCTGTGTGCACAGGGGATTCTTGCTCAAGTCCTCTGGGGCTCTGTGCTCTGGGAAGGTTTGCTCAGTGCTCATAACAGGACTTTGGGGAGTGTGGAAGAAGTGGTCAGTGTTGTAAGGAGGCATCTATTGATCAAATCTTATTCATGGGGCAGGGAATTGCTGCTGTGGCTCTCCACTTCCTGATAAATGGTGTCCCGTTCTGCTGCAAATAGTTAAAAAATGGACTGAGTAGCACAAATCTCCAGGGATCTAAACAAACAGCCCCCAAAAGCTTGCAAGATCCTGGCTAAAATTTAACCCTTGAGCAGCCAGACATGGCATCCCCCAAAAGCTGGGAAAATCCTCTCTTTTTCCACCCCATCTCAGAGTGAGGGGCACACCAGCCCCTGTTGGGCAGCCCCTGGTTGTGGTTCCCCAGGGCTGTGACCCTGCAGATCAAGGCACAGAGAGCAGCAGCTCCCTGAGTTCTGCATGCACCACCATACAGGCTGCTCAGCCCTGTACAAATCCATAAGCTCTCCCAATCCTTCTTCTTCTACACATGCAACAAATCCAAAGACCAAATATAGAGTATATTTCTTAATCTTTTTTTTTTTCTTTTTTTTCCTTTTTTCCCCCCCACTCTGGACTGTTTGCAACCAAACTGTTTACTCTGTTTAAGCTTCGGATTTGCAAGTTTAAATCTTTCACAGTTCCAGGTGCACCCAAAAAGATAAGGGCGTTAGGAGGTACGCTGCTGCTGCTGCTCAAAATAAATAAATAAAGCTGAGATTAATTCAAAACCGCTTCTTAATACTCAGTATTCTTCCACTATCTGCTGCTATTATTATATTTACCTTGTCTAAGCTGGCACAAAACACTCAGCACAACAAAAGCTGTGACTGCTCTTTGGTTCGACGCTCCCCTCTCGCTTCTCTTCTTTGTTTTGTGCCACATCTCTGTGTGCAGAAGGGAGGGCAGAGCTGTCACAGCCCCAAGGCCACAGATCCTCCACTGATGAGTATTTGGCACAGGATGGGCAGGGAGGGAGGTAGGCACTGAGGAGGTGTAGCAATCACGGCTTGGAGCTGAAATAAGCTGTCACACTTTGTGCGCCTCTGACAATAAAAGATTTGTGCAAGTGGCAGTGGGGCTTTAGTCCAGATTAAAAGAAATATCCTTTCTGAGAGTCTCTCCTTCTCTTGTCTTCATTTCTGAAAGTCACTCCCTGCATTTTGCTTTGCCAGTTTTCTCACTTGAGAGCTCACCACCACCCACAGCACTGGGTACTGCTGAGCTCTGGCTCACAGTCAAAGCCTCCTCCCTTCAGGGAGATGGAAACTAATCAATGAAGAACATTAAACACTAGGAAAGCCACAGCAACTTACCATTCTCCATAAAGGTCACATTCCCACAGTGACTACATGGTAGCACTGAGCTGAAGGCAGTGTGGGGAAGTGACAGCTCTTGGAGATAAGCTCTCATTCCTGTTTTCTGCAGGATGCTCTTAAATGGTGAAAAAAGACACTGCTGCTGAGCTGGCCTGTCATCCTGGCTTGTGCTCAGCTGAGCTTTGATTTTCCATCTCTCTGTGGGGGACCTGGGCTGTCTCACCCCTGGGTTTGTGGGCATGGGTCCACATAACCATGAGGTCCCACTGCCATGGGGACCACAGCCACTCATTCCTGCCCCAGTGCTTTTGTCCAACCAGAGTCTCCCATGCTTTGCTGGAAGAAGGGTGATGCATTCTGATCACTCCAGGGATGCTCAGCAGGATGCTTGAATTACAGCCTGCTACCCCAAGCTGCCCAAGATACAGCCCTGGGCTCAGCTCTTGATTATCTTAACTCCTTTCCAAAGATGAATGATGATAGGATCCAAGGGGTACAGTCATGAAGTCATGACACATGGGAGAGTGCAAGAGACCATTCCCTGGGACCAAGGCAGGACTGGTGGGGGAGTGTCCATCCAGGCAGCAATGGAAAACCTCTTTCCCTCAGCATTCAGCTGTCTCCAGTACAGCTGCTTACTCAACACCTGGCATAAAGAAAGGTACAGGTTAGCTGTGTGGCTGTTTCTATTGATCACAGAAGAACAACAGAAATATGAACCCTGAAATAAACAAGTCTCTGTACAGATCCATCTCCTCAAATTGTAGCAGAAAATTTCAGATATTGTCCAGGGAGAGGCTAAATTTCTGGTTTGGCACTGAGGAATACTAACAAGTTTCTTCTCTGGGCCCTCATCTTTCACATCTATAGGAAGGATGCCAGCATTTAATGTCCCTTTCTATTAATATGAAATGGTCCATAAGGCTCAAGTACCAGCGAGACTTCTCTTAAGGATCAGCAGACTTCTGGCCTTGTTGTTTTCATTCTGACACAAAACCTGGTTAAAATCTGACTCTTTTACTTTGAGCACTACTGACAGAGCTGAGATGCAAACACAACAGTTTATGCCACTCTGACTGCTCACGACTCCTTTGTATTTAAGTTTGTGCAAGAGTTTGTAAAAAGACACAGGAATTAGCATCAGGCAGTGAAAGAGAGAAGAGGAAAGGACCTTGAGCAATGCCACGCTGTGGCAAGGCAGAGCCCACTGGCTACAAACCTAAATAGCCAAGACATTTTGGAGCCTGTGTGAGCCATTGCATTTTGTATTCCAGTTCTTTTTCTCGAGTGCTTATTTAGCTGATAGTAGCTGGACCGCGTTGAGACTCTTGACAAGCAATTTGTTTTTAGAAGGGATGGAAAGCAGCAGGTGTTAATTCCATCACAACACCCCTCCTTCCATATCCCAAGTCCTCCCATAGTCTTCATTAATAAGATCTTGTATATCACCACTGTGCCCGGTTGCACACCACAGTTATGAATTTCACGCACCAAGGTAAATGTAAACAGGATTAAATAAATCCTAGTAATTATAAAACACTTGAAAGCGTGCTCCCTCCCCCCATTTACTTGCAGACTCTTCATTCTGCCTATCTCACACATCCAGCTCTTGCAATCATTTTTCAGGGGTAGTTTAACTTGTTCCAGGCATTTTGGCCCAAACCTCCCCTGAGATGTACAGATGTCCCAACTTACCACCAGGCTGCCTCAATCAGCAAGGGTGTTGCTTGAGGTTGTTGCTTTTGAATGCAGAAGTTTCACTTTCGGAGCAGGCTGAAGCAGAAGAATGATGCACCAGACCAGAGCACACAGTCACCATGGCAGAACCATGGAATTTAGGGCAGCAAGGAGCTGGCTGAGCCCAGCTGACGGCCACAGAAAGGCAGAATGCAGCAATGTTTCATTGTGTTTCCCCCTTTCTCTGATGTCTCAGCAGGCTGACACCTAATTCACTGTTTGCTGCCTCTCTCACAGAAGTCCAGCTGAACACTCTGTTGGTGCCTGCAGATCAATCTCACAGAAACAGACTCAACTTCCCTCTGATCCAGAAGAGGTTTCCAAACACCTGAGTCTCCATGCTGAGTTGAGCAACGTTGCTCTCCTCATTCCACTGTGCCACTGGGACCTCCCTCTGCTCCAGGCTGTTGGGGAACATAGATTCAAGTCTGCTCCAAATGCTGGGTTTTGTGTATTTTGTGGCAGAGGGATGGAGAGGGAGAAAAAACAGTTTTCAGTGCCTGTTATCAGTACCATTGCTTTCAGAGTTATATTACAGAGAGTGTGGATCACCATTTGCCATCCATGGTGTGACAGGAGAGGGATGCAGCCCAGCAGGGCTTTGTGAAGCTCCCAAAGGAAGATCTGCAAAATTTACTTCGCTGTGAGGACCTGAATATTTTGGCCTCTTCCCACATTACAAAAAGGAAATCATCCACATGAGCCATATTTACTCATCCCTTCCTCTACTCAGGGCCACACTGACCTCTGCACCTTACTAATGCACGCTACATTCATCTTCAGAAAGTTTTGTGCAGACAGCTCCACGAAGCCTAGGAACATTTTTCTCATGAAGAAAGAGCACTTAATTTAGTACTTTTTAAAAAAACCAATTCATTATTTCCTCAATACCAGAATTCGCTGAAAGCACTCCAAGTTCTTTTTTGCAAGTGCCACGGAACAAGATAATTGTGCAATTAGTAATGCATCTCACACGTCTTGAAGTGAAGGATTTTTGCTTTTGACAAGTACAAAATGTAACATTTTGCTTTTCCACAGTGGGAAAACACTGGCCATTCCTCCCTCCCTCCTCCTTGTTTTAAGCACACTGCTATGCGTAATTAATAAAGATAATAATAAGTATCCTCAACTAAGAAGGGATACGTGAATGGCACAGACAATATGGATAACTGGGATTGCCAGAGCAGCCAGCAGCTTCCCAGTATTAATTATAGCTCTTGAAGAGGAGCCGTGTCCTTCCCAGCCTCCACTCCCAGGCAATGCAATGCACAGAGCTCTGCCCATGGCCACCAGCCCATCCGTGGCCAAACTTGGATGGGAGCCCAGCACATCAGGGCAGCCTCACCCACCCCCTGTGCAGCTGCAGATGTGCTGCATCCACCCTTAGCCACAGATCTGTGCCATGCGAGCACGTTGACTTAACTGTACATATTGCAACAGTTTCACCTACCACGTCACAATCTAAATGTGGGTATCATTGCAGAGTCATCCTGTGGGTTCCTGGGGGATGTACTGGGCTCCCATGCCTTGCTTCCCTCTCCCTTCCTGTGCATGGCAGTTCTGCGTGCTGTTTCCATGACACTCGAGCAGCATTTTGGAGCAGGGCAGGGAGGGCAGCCCAGCAGGGATGAAAGTGGGGCTTTTTGGTGCCTGCTGATGAGATGGCAACAAACAGGAGCCAGCAGGGGTGGACAAGCAGGAGCCAAGCACAGCTTATCGCTCCTGTGCAGAAAGAGGCTCTTGTGGAGACAGCAGCTACTAAATACATAAATAAGCAAACATCAAACACCTCCATTTCTTCAGTCCCCCTTCAGCCCCTGCCTGCAGCTCCCAGCGCATCTCCTGCAGCAGCTGACGGGCAGAGCAGCACTGCAGGTTGCTGCAGGCACCAGCCAGGGCAGTGCAATTGCTCTCTGCCCAAGGCTAAATTCACCTTGAGAATTAAAAGCTGCTGGAATCCTAGAACTGGAGGTGTGACAAAAGGCCCATCGACTGTTTTTACCCGATTAGAAGAGGCTTATATCCATGAGTGTGAGATGTTGGGATGAGTGTGATGTCATGTCCCCAACCAGTTGGAAGAGCATATCTGGATGGTTTGTACAAGGTTTGGGTGAGTCAGGGCTGAAGGGCAGATGTATTCTCCTCTGTTTTTGTAAGGGCTTAAAGATCCACTTGGGTAGTTATCCAAAAAACAGGTAGTTGCACAAGAGTAAGAGGCACAAATAGTGCTTTAATTCAGAGATGTACCAGAATCTTTAACACAAACAGACACTAGGTGGCAAGGAGAGAACTAGAGATGTTTTCCTTTTGGGTTTTTCAGCCCACCCAGAGCACACTCCTTACATCCTTCTACCTGCTGCCCTGCTCAGTGCCAACCCTCAGCTCACCCCGTGCTGCCAGGCAAAACCAACCTGCACCACAATCCTCTCCTGGTCTCCTAGCACACTTCTGCTGGCTTTACAGATCGTATTTCAGGACTGATGTGAAGCTTCACTGCAATCCAATCAAACCAATAACCAACTGGGGACTATTTCCTTTCTGGAGAAGCCACTTGCAATAGCATTATCACTGCAGCAGACTCAGAGGAGATACCTTACGATGCACCTGAGGATTTTCACGCTAATGTGTTCTACTCCATCATCAATTTGTCACTGTTTGTGTTTCACCTGGCTGTGCACAAAACGAAGAACCGCTCTGGAACAACTGCCTCTTGTCACCCTGGAATAATCAGGTATTAAAGGAAAGGAACAAAAGCAAAAAAAAAAAAAAAAAGTCTTTTGGCCCCAGATTTAGAGATGTCAGAGTCTGTCAGAAAAGCAATGGAGATGCTGAGAATTTTTTTTAAATGCGCTTCTGAGGTGAGCCATAGTGGGACAGAAATGAAGGCCATCACTCCTGCTTTACAATTGACCAGGAATATCAGGTGCTGGAGAGATCAGGAGAGCTGCCCAAGGCTTCAGAAGGAGCTGGAAAGAACAAGATGCCTTCAGAGGTTTCAAACTGATAACAAGAAAGTTGAACATTTTACCTTTTGAGATGAGCAGGACCCACCTCTCTCCCTCTGGATCAAGTTGGGCTTATCATCTTGTTAATGCTGCCCATTCTCTCCTCAGTTCTTAGATAGAGGGGTGAAACCCAGAGGGTTACTTGTCTCTCAGTCTCTTCAAGCCTTACTGCATTAAGTCCTATAAAGAGCTGGGATCATTCCTTGAACATCACAGCATAGAAAGGATCTTCATTCCAAAGGACTTTCCTTGGGAAATGGGGATGGAGGAAGAATACCCTGTTTTGAACCAGGACAGCCTGAATTGATAGAGGAAAACAAAGATCTGGAGTTGCCCCCTCAGCCACTCCAGCTGCCTTTCTCCCTCAGCTTCATTCCCCCCGCCTTTTCCCTTCATGCTACCTTGACTCCAGATTTTGTTGCCCTACTTTTGTCCATCCCTCTCCTAGAGATAAGATGAACACTATTTTCAATTAACAAGATGTAATTGCTATAAGCAGTAGGAGGCAGTTCATTTTGAGCCAGAAAATTAACTGAAGCCTAAATGTACAGCATCGGTCTATTGCTGGGAGTACAATTATCACCATTGCTTGGTCCCTGTCATTCAGAGGCTGTGTCTGCTGACTGCATAGTCAGACTTTGCTCAAACACCTGGTTAAAGCTTACCATGCTGAGATGTGTCCTGAAGCTGCTTTTATCCCACTTTCATCTTGGAAGGGAAAGATCTCAATGGCTCTAACAGCAAACTAGATCAGGAAGTATTTCTAGTTTTCCTATTGATGGGGCCCAAATTTGGCTTCAGAACCAAGTGGTTGGACACAAGATCTTCCTCTTCACCTTTGGGAGAGCTTTAGCTGCCGTATGCAAGGTGACAGACCTGTGGAACCTCTCTGCTCCATAAGGACAGCAGTGAGACTTACTGACACTCCAGCAAATGCCACTGCTCCTCAATTTACAGATGAGGGCACTGTAGGAAACAGCCTGCTCCTTACTATGGAATCCACATCAGAATGTTAGGAGGCAGCAGTTACCAACCAGTCCCTATAACAGGGAGATGACAAACCCATAAAAAAAACCCAAATAATGTCAAATATCTTTTGCTGCCTTCTCCTCACTGCTGTTCAGCCATGTGGCATAAAATCTACTTTTTATTCCTATTCTAGTTATATTATGATCACCCTCCCCCCCCACTTGCATGCTCCACAGGTCTGCTTGGAGCATTACTGCTGTGGGCTCTTCCCTTCCTTGATGCCATACTGTTGGATCTGGGTAGGATCTCCTGCTCCACTGACCTCCCAGTTATTCCATTTCAGGTCAGCTTTCTCCATGGTGCCTGGCCAGCATCATGCAGGATGTTTTTTGTATGACTCTTTTTTTTCCAAATCCAGAAGAAAGAAGTTTATCCAGTTTTTCATAGGATTTAACAGAGGTTGCAAGATAAAACCCTCTGCAGAAACTCTATGCATCTTTTTCTCCCACCCAGTTTTGCTTTGCAGCACAACTCATTATCTTCTCCTTAGATGTCTCACATTGACAACTTTTCTTTTATAGTCGTCATTTTAGCTAATGAGCTCCCCCACAAAATCAAATGTTTTCGCGAAGCTCATTCCCATTAAACCTACTGCACCTCCCTCCCTCAGAAACACGGGCATCTTCAGGAGGGAAAACAGACAAACAAAGCAAATCACAGCAGTCTGTCACAGTCTGGCTCTGGGAAAGCACTCAGTGCTGTTTCTCCCATTTGCAGACTGTTGGCATGAGCACGGTTATTCCTCCTGGCCCAGACACAATGAGATTTGCTCTTCCTGGCACACAGCACTACCCAACACAGTATGGTTACCAGAAGTTATACCTCCACCATTGCACCGCTTTCCTGTGAAGGCCCAGGCACGTTACTCAGCAGTTTGCAAGGATACCTTTTGACCCCTTCTGATCACCATCCCATTATTTACACACAGCAGCCTCAGCACTCTGTCAACAGCTGAAGAACTTCTCACTGTTGATGGAATTACCCAGCAAACCCCACAGCCTGGGAACTTAAGGAAAGTTTCTCCTCCTTCCTGAGGCATTAAAGGCACATGAGTCCCTTACAACCCCCCTCCTGCCTTACAGCATCAGACCTCAGGCTGTCCCCTTCCTCTCACCCAGCACTGACTCACATCATCACAAAGTCCATTCGCAGAAGGTATGTTGGGATCTCACAAAACCATGCTGCAGCACAGATGGAGATTTTAGGCAGCTTGCTGAATTCTGCTGGATGGCTGATAGGGTTGCAAAGTGCTTCTAGAGCCCACGAGTCCCTGGGAAGTGATAGCTTGAAGCTCCCAGCACTACAGCAGTCACCACCACCCCCCTCCCAAAGTAAATCTACAGCAAACTAGCCACAGAGGAGTTAATTTATAATCCCCCATGAGCCTCCAGTGGGCACAGCCCTGACAGATTGGCTGTTAACCTCTGAAAGCACAATTAATTGCACCTGGATTGTTCTTTCATCTTACCCTAGGGCTTGCACACCAAAAGGAACTGCAGTCGGGGATACAAAGGTCCTGACACTTCTCTCCCCAAAGAGCTGCTCTTTGTGCTGAGCTTTGATAGTTTTTTTGATCCTTTCTTTTTAGATAACAGACTGTGCCCACCTGTGTGAGGACAAACATGCACGCACACAAAGCTCTTTGAACATATCAATTGCTGCCCATTGAGAAAGATCAATGCCTTCTCTAAAGAACCTTATGATGTTAGATTGCTTTCAAACCTCTCTCAATATCCACGTGGTCCTTGCCCCAGCTGAAAAAGACATGAGTGTGTCCATTCGCTTTAAAACCAGCTGTTTCTTTAGAGGAGGAAAGTTTAATTGCATCTATGCCATGTCTCTTCCCACTTTTCAGCTGAGCCAGGGCTATGATGGCCGCTGGCAAACAGCTGCAACTCAGCTCACTATAATGGGAAATAAAATCACAACAGCCTGTAGCCGGAATTTCCCCATGTTTATTAGATTGAAATTAGAAATGCTGATGACCACTTTTGTCAATTAAAACCCCTGAAAAGCAGGAAGTGTGAAAACCACCTTCATGGCAACTGAGACCCAGGGGTCCTCCAGCCCCTATGTGCAGGATGGTGCTGGGCACAGGGGTGCTGTCCCGTCCTGTTTCATGGTACAGCTCCGCTTGTGTGATGCCACCCCTACCTGCATGAGCAGGGAGAGGTTGGGATGGAGTTAGCCAGGATGGAAATGGGCATGGACAAAGTGGGCCGAGTGGTGGGGAATTTCTGCCTCTCTCTCTCAAAAGAGGGAAAAACAAACAAACAAAAAAAAAAACCCAACAAGCCAAACAGAAGCAAAGATTTTCTCCAAACTAAGTTCAGGGGCACTTTATTTGGAAATCTTCCTAGAAATCTGTTATTTTCTACCCAGTAATTGCAGTCCATTTGCAGCCAGCCATGGCTGCTAGGGACTTTTGCTCCATCAAGATTTTTTTTGCTCCATTACGTTTTTGCACCCACCCATCTGCCCTGCTGTGCCCTGCCTCCGTGCTTCAGCTTCCCAGTGGCAGCTCTGACCCCACGGAGGGGAGGCAGCAAGGGGCCACTGCGCATTATCAGCAGCTGTGGTCAGCACTGAGGCAGATGTTAGAGGGCTCGATGGAGCCTAAGGAACAAACATCTCCAATGAGGTCCCTGAACTCCCATCACCAATGGGGTGAGTGAGTGGGGGGCTCAGCTATTGGCTTTGCAGAGAAAAGCATTGGGTGGGCTGTGAAGGCGTGCTGCTGGGTGTGGGGATGTGCCACCTCCCCTGTGCCACAGCCCTGTGTCATTGGCACTGCCCTGCTGCTGCCTGCTGTGTTAGTGGAGAGAGCTGCGCTGGCCCTAGGAGGAGCTGAAGCTCTTTGTGTGGTTTTTTGTTTTTTGTTTATTTTCATTGTTTGCAAATTGTCTGAACCCGCTTTGCAACCAATAGTGCTTGGAACCCACAGAAGGGCAGCAGCCACGCTGTGAGTGTCCATTTCCATCCCCTCTGCATTAGGTTGTGACTCCATCTACCTGCTTGGCAATCCCATGTCTATGAGCTGCCTGGCCCTGCCAGCCCCTTGCAGAGAGACCTGGGCTGGTTCCATGGCCAGGCAGCACCTCTCCATCTCCCCCTGGGGCTTTGTGATGTTCTCATGAAGCGTGCTGTGCAACGAGCTGCACCAGGGCTCAGCAGTGTGCAGAGGTACTGAGGAGGGGTGGGTGGGAGCAGCCCTCAAAGCCATTCCCTTTACTGGATCCCATTGTAGTGACACAACCAGACCAGTAGCATTTTCTTTAACAAATATGAATCCCATGGATTTGCTCTGATGTAATTATGCATCCTGCATTAAGCCAATGCTCCCACTGTCTGTGGCTGCTAGCATAATTAAACTTAATGTACTTTTAATGATGTCTTCTTAACTCATGCATTCATATATGATTAGAATCAAACACGAGGAGCTGTCACGAGTCCAGGAGAGCTCTTTCGGCAGCTCCTGATGGGACTCACATTGAAATATTAATAATGCAGATTTCGAAGCTAACAACATCAGTTTTGAAGTGGGGAAAGCTTGTCACACAGTTTGAGCTAATCTGAGGCAGCAAAACGGCTTCTCTTTCAAGTTCAGCCTCTCCCCATCTTGCACAAGAGCTCCTGGGATCAGAGGAATTTACGGTTTACTTTGTAAAGATGTCATAAAATAAGTGCCCAGCAGTGGCTGCTGCTGCTCTGCCCTGGCATGCTCTGTCTTTGCTCCTGTTCCCCTTTCCTGTTGTTTTTCCTCAAACTGGAAGCTCTGGCACTCTGCTTTTGTCTCCTTTTTGCTGAATGATATCAGGCTTTGTCCCTGCCCCACAACTTCTTGGTGGTGAGATATTGTTTCCTTGAACTGTGCACTACCTTGTGCAACAGGGCTTGGTGGAGCTTTGGGATTGATATTTGGCTCCAGAGCCCTACTCACAGCATACTGCAGATGTTCTTATTATTATTTTGTTTTGTTTTGTTTTTTTTTCCTTCGGCCCATTGGCAGATAGGTCATCTTTTGAGTTCCTGAGAACAAGTTGTGAAATTGTCTGAAATCCTTCCAACAGGAAAGCATTGATTTATTACGCTGTAATACTGATGCGAACAACACCGTGCACCTTTCATCTAAAAAGTCAGGACTTATAGAACACGACATGCCATTAATTCTGATGCCAGCTCAAACGGAGGAGGAAATGCTGCCAGAGGGATCCAGACAGCATGTTAAACCAGCCCTGCAGAGTAATGAACACACTCTGTGCTGTTACATTATACAATATTGATCCTTAGGAATGAAGAGGTACCTTGACAGCTAATTTGGGCCATCAAAAGCTTCTCTTAATATACGAGTATGCATATGTGTGTGTACTACCCAATTAGTGCAAACATTGGCTAATTAAACTTCTCAGTATCCCCTGTCGGGGTGAGGATTGCTGCATTTCCTTGCTCTGGGGACAGCTTTCCCTTTGCACATGGCTGGGAGCTCCCTTGGTAGCAGCACAGTACAGAGGATGGCCTGAGCCAGGAGCACTCAGGGCAGTGAAAACTCCCTGGGAGAGGTGTGCACCACCTTGACTTGTTTTCTGCACAGGATGGAGATGGATGCACTGTGCTACATGCCCTAAGCTACGAGCATTCCCTCCTGTGTCATTCTGCCCTTTGCATGACTTGGAAGATGTATTCCTGCAGAGAAATGGGGTCACCATTCCTTTGTGACTCCTGCAAATCCATCCTGCCTGAGCTAGTAAGAGATTGTCTTTTCTTTCTTTCAGCTTTCTCTTTCTTTTCAACCAGAATTTTGTTGTTGAGGATGAGGTCCCTGGCATTAGGACTGCTACATAGCTTAATCTTGGATTGCCATTTTCTTTTTTCACCCAGGTTTCACATGTTATTTGTATGCATGGAATGTGCTTATCACAGCCATTGCTACCTTCTGCCACCCTTTCCCAACTCTGCAGCTGGGACATTGAAGTGTGCACCACTCCACTGAAGTCTCCTTGCTGCCCAGCAGTGTGATAGGCTGTGGGATCACTTCTGCCTTGGACAGAGCTGGATTCGCATCTCTCTTCCCATCCCAAGGAGTTCATGGGCTGGCTATGTTGTGTTACAGAGCTATCCATAAGAATACCACCACCATGTACATACATATGAGAGCCTACCACATGCTGCAGTGCTGTAGGTGGGACTGACAGACAAAGGAAGGAGAGATGGGGATGGAGATAAAGGGGTGGTGCTGGAGCAACATGACCAACAGTTTCCTTGTAGCCCAAGCAGCTTTGGCACTAACATTTTTTGAACTGGGATCTGCATGTGGATTTTGCCCTGCAAAGCCCTGCCCTGCTGCAGATCAGTGGGCTGCCATGAATGGCACAGTGACATCATTGCTTTTCTGTTAACTGATTAACTGGCTACCAGAGATGCAGGCATGAGGGCTTGCACTTGCAGCAGGCTGCCAAGCCACAGAATCATCAGTGATGTTTGGAAAATTGATCTGAGCCCATAGGTAACATAGAGGCAAAAGGGGAATCTGTAGATGTCTGCAGCTACAACAGCCATCAAAGAACAGGCCACACAAGTCTCAGAAAGGTATTTGCAGTAAATCTGTTACATTTGCTGATAGAAAAGGCCTGAAGCCATCTACTCTACTATTTCCAAGGTGCTGCTTCAGAGTAATTTCCATGCCATGTTGGAGAATATCCATACCCCACTGTGATGTGTCACTTGAGTTCTGACATGTGCCTCTGTGCTACCAATGTATTAGAATCATGCATCAGGATGTTTAATGGTGACCACTGGGTTACAGCAAATATTGCTGTATGTACCCCTTCCCTATCCCTTCACTGAGCTTGGATAAGAGTTTTTTGTTGTGTTTGCTGACAAGTATACGCATGCACAAACAAATTGAGACAAATCCTTTTGGATCATCCCAGCCTTGTGCCCTGGTGTTGAGATTCTGATCCCATAGCAAAAGCATGGATTGAGTGATGTGTCTGTTCAGTATTCAGTTTTTTGCTGGTTTTTTTTTTTTTTTTTTTTTTTTTTTTTTTTTGAGACTTTTTCATAAGGGATATTTGCTTTTGCCAAAAGGGAATTTTGTCCTGCTTTTGTCAAGAGAAAAAGGAAAATTTCTTGTGCATGTCTGCAACCTCACTGGGAATGAAGAGCAAACCACTGAAGGAGCAAGGAGAGCATTTTGAGTTAGCTTCAAGCCCATCATATAGTACTGGATGTCCAAACAAGTGCGGAAGACCAAAATGGGCTGATGCAGCATAGTCTGCCCATGGAAAACTTCTCTCTCAGGCCTCTCGATTTGGAGG